CCCTCCTTCCCTCCCTCCGTTCTGCTCTCAGACTGATCTGAAGAGCCATTTTTAACTTTATTTTGAAGTCTCTTCATTTGTAATGCGTGTGCATTGCAGTGGTATTGTTTCTTGAATCTAGAAACTAAAAACTCATACTTTGTTGATTCATGAAAACTTGGCTAAATTGGCTCCTTTTGTAGCATAAGTTTGCTCTCCAAGAAAGTAATCCACAAAATGAAAAGAATTGCTTTTAAAATTAACTTGTTGCAACCAACCAAAAAAGTGGGTGAATAAAGGAGGAGGGTCATACAAGCATGGATGCAGTCCCTTTGGTCCAACACGTCTGTGCTGGCCAGACATCCCAATCCGACCTGCTCCCATTTGCCAATCATTTGGCCCATATCCCTCTAAACCCTTCCTATTCATATACCCATTCAGGTGCCTTTTTAAATGTTGTAATGGTACCCGTCTCCACCTCTTCCTCTGGCAGCTCATTCTGTACATGCACTTCATCATTCGTGCTCCTCCCCCTGTCCCTAATCTCACGGGATCATAACAGTTTGGGATATCGGTCTTGAATGGTAACCAATTGGGGAACATTGCCACAAGTCTGGACTTAATAAGTGGTAAGCAGACAAAAACTCCCCCTAGATGTCTGCAATGCAGCTGTGTAATCAGTCATCAGGAGTGTATCTTATTGTCCTTTGGATTCCTGCTCTCCTTATGTGGAACCTAATCTTTATTTAGTGTACATCTATAGTGGAATGACTGACTGTAGTAACTGTTCATGGGAGAAGGAAATGCATCCCACACAAACTCCCACCCCAACCATCAAATTGTGAAGGGGTTTTAAAATTTGTTAGAGAAAGTTTTGGAACAGGCCTAGACAAATTTTCTCCTCAAACCTTTCCACCATTCAATGAGATCATGGGCGATTTGTGGCCTAAATGTATTTATCCCACGTGCTCCATTTCCTTTAATAATTTGGAATAACAAAAATCTATCGGTCTTGGATGTAAAATTCATAGTTGATCTATCAATTTTCATCTGTAACATAGCATTTCAAACATCCAGCATACTTTGGGCACAGAAGTATTTCTTCATTTCATTCCTGAAAGAAATGGCTGTAATTTTAGACTGTCTCCTAGTCCTTAACTCAACCAGCATAAATAGTTTCTACCTGTCCCATGTGTCTCACTTACTAACTCAAACTTTGATCACATCACTTCTAGCTTTCCAAGTTCTAGGAGCAAAAGCATAATTGATGTATAATCTCTTTTTGACTTACCCTTGGAGACCATTTGTCATTCTGGCAAGCCTACAGGCACTTCCTCCATGGCCAATATATCCTTAAGGTGTGGTATACACAATAGCTCCACATTACCCCAGGTGTGGTCTAATCAGGAATTTGTGTTGCTTGATTTCTACTTCAATGTATTCTAGCTCTCTAGGTGAGAAGATCAGCATTCCATTATCCTTTTTAATTATTTTCTCTACCTGTTCATGACTATTGAATACCAATCTATTTGGACCCCAAGTCTCTTTGGATCACCACTGTTTCCAGTTCATTATCATTTAGGAAGTACATAATTTAATCTTTCTTTATGTCCAAAATGGATAATCTCACATTTAGCTGCCATGAATTCTGTTTGCCCAGTTTTCTCCATTCACTTAATCTAATAGTATTTTTTAACTTTATGCTTCCATCTACTCTGCTTATAATGATGCCCATATTTGCATTTCAGTAAAATATAAATACATAGCTTTCAATCTCATCTTTGTAAGTTGTAAATAACTCCAAGTAGTTGAAGTCCTAGCACAGAGTCAGAGGTACGCAAGTGGCATCATGATAGTAAAGAACAGATATAGTGAGAAGGTAGAGAGTGAAGTTGTACATCATTTTAGATGTAAAACAATAAATGCACCACTGTTATGAGTTGTCAAATTGCTTTGTAACTCATTGCAGACACACAGACTAGCTGGTGTCGATAATTTTCCAGTTTTGTCCTCATCACATTACTAGTCCCATTGGATTTTAACCGTGGTTAAATTTAGATTGTGAATGTAGAAAAAAAAAGTACTGAGTCTGCACATTTTGTACACTGGTGCAGGAACCGAGAGGTAAGTAAAGAGAAAGAAGGATGAAGATTAATTGGGAGAAATTGGAAAAGTGAGCAGCTGTGGGAATACCTAGTGCACTAGTGTGTGTCGCATTTATCAAAGAAACAGACTACAGTATATATTTTGATTTTCTGTCTGGTCAGCTCGGAAATTGCAGCAGGCTAAGCAAGCTATTCTTAGTAATGATATGATGTGCTTTCTTTCTTTAGCATCGCTATGGCAACAAAAGAAAATGTGACATCACAACGAGGAATGCTGAAGTCAATACAAAGTAAAGTGAACTCCTTGGCCAGTATCCTTTTAAAGCATTTTGTTTTACATTTTTCCACTTCGTGTCAATGTAACAATAAATTAGAAAGTAAATACGACAGAACAGGCTAGTGGACGCACGAGTTTATCTGGTGTTTCTTAGGTGGAAAACTAATGTGTTGTAAAATTTGTTAAACTCTCTTCCACAGCAAAGCTGTGATACCTCAAACTGCAAAACAGTCCAGTCAGCTCAGTAACTAATTTAGTTGAACATAGAGAATTACATGAAGTTCAATACTTTGTATTAAATTTTCAGGACAATTTGGAGTAGATGGTTCACAAAGTACAAGTTTCCAGAGATGTCAATCTTTTAGCTGAGAAAAAATATGTAAAACGTAATTTTTGAAGAGTATATCAACTAATAATTTTTACTATGCAGTGTTCCAGTGTTGTAGGTTTTGGATATAGATGTTAAATACCATAATTATTCTAACAATGATGCAAAAGCTTTCTTTAGATTTTTTAAAATCTATAGTCGATCCATAATTCATTGGTCACAGCACATTTCACTCAGTATAAATGCTAGCTAGCATTGTGGTTATAGTAAGTAAGTTAGAGACTTGGACTAATAATCTCAATATGAAAGTTCAGATCCCACCATGGCATTTAGGGAATTTAAATTCAATTGAATAAAACTGAAATAATGAGTGACTGTCAGTAATGGTGACTCTGAAACTACTAGATTGTTCAAAAAGACATTTAGTTCATAAATGCCATTAGGAGGAAAGTCTGCCATTCTTGCCTAGTCTGACTGATATGTCTTCAGACCTGCAACAATGTGATGGGCTCTTAACTATTCTGTGTCATTTAGAGGGCTGATGTGTTCTTTACAAGCCCAGACTGGCAGGATCTGGAGCAAATTGTTAAGTGAAAGGTGCTTGAGCAATTGCTATTGAATGAGTAAGTTCGCTACACAAATTTGTCTATAAGTTAGAGCTTTACATGAAAATCTAGGGTTGGAGCCATAGGAATGTTCTCACCTTTTGAAAGCTGCAGCTAGTCTCCAATTATCTTAAATTGTTAATTCATTTAATCGTGATGCATATTTTAGACTGAGTAGTGAAATTAGCTCTGGCTTAAAACAAGTTGCAATGTGGTTCTAGACAAAAGCAAATGTACAATCAATTTGTGGGTTATCCATCCAGATTATCCAATGAAATGAATTGTTGAGCCTTACAAACCAATAATGTTTGCTATTCAGTCTGTGTTCATGATAAATTAGCTAGTCTTGAGTGAGTTGTCAATAGGAGGACATCCAGTTGGCCTCAGTGCTCATTATCAGAAAGATGTAAACAAGCCAGGATTCCCTCTTGTGCTCCCTGTTGGAAGGATCAGAATAAGCATTAGGCAAGGATATTTTGAATTTGATCCTCCTTCAGTCAAATAGCCGCTGGTACTTAAACATCCAGTCTGACACCTGAAGTGCAGTCACATCAGAGAATTCTTGATATCCTTGCAGCTATACCCCAATCAAGGAATCTGTACCTTATAGAAAATGAGAGAAAACAGGGTTGAGTGGCTAAAAGCCTATTGTTTAGTGTTAGAATGTTTTTATAATGAATTGAAAACAAAATTATTTCAAATTCTTTAACAAAAATTCCAGACCGATTTCCTGCCATTAACAACCTGGTTCAGAGGATAAATTTGAGAAAACGCAGGGACACGTTAATCTTGGGAGGTGTTATTGGCATTTGTACTATCCTATTACTACTGTATGCTTTTCACTGATGCATTTCCATAAGATATCTCCACAGCTGTAAAGCACTGGGGAGAGTGTGATGGGGAGCTTGTGGACCTGCATATATTGCCTGGATTGTGAGTATGATGGATTTAGGTTACACTGGAATACTTTAAAAGAGATTCCTGCAGGCTACAGTTGTGATTGGTTTATGATAAAATGTTAAACCTCAGATTTTTAATTAATTATGCTCTTGGAATATATAATTTTGAAATATAGCTCATTACATTTTGTGAAAGAATGCATTAGAATGTGGTCTGTTAACACTTCTTCCTGCATCTCAGTTATCCAGATTGAAAGTTACTGTATCATTTCTGAGCAATTACAAAGACCAAATTAGAAAAGAAAAATCAGTTCTTTGAATCATATATCTTGATGCATTGACTTGTGTATTTTCAAGAGCATATATAATGTGTACATAAAATTACTTTCGTACACTGTGGTCCTGCAGAACATTTGTATATTCGTATTCTGTGTAAGTCATGGTTTTGCTCCTTTTGATGGCTTTGCATGTCCATTGTCTGCTCTCTCACCCAGATAAGTGCAAAAGCCAAATGTTTTGAAAACTGGAAATCTGAAATAAAAACATAAAATGTAAAAATACCTAGGTCCAGCAGCGTCTGCAGAGAGGAAAATAAAAGTAGTGTCAGGTGAATGACTTTTCATTAAAGCCAGTTCCAATGAATGGTTGCAAGCTGAAACATCAGCTCTCTATCTCTCTCCAGGATGTTGCTGGAATATTTTCTGGTTTACTCAGATGAATGGTTTTGATTCAACTGATTTGGTTGCAGAGCAGCCTTTGCCAAGACCAAGAAGCAAATACCACACTTAGCCATTCTCTTGGAAATATGTAGAAGTCGTGAAGAGAAAACAAAAGCAAAATTTAAAAAAATCTAGACATCCATTCAATCATAAATTTTAGGTTGTTTATCAATTTCCAAAGTTTTATTAATCTGGCAGACTTTTTAAATTGTTATGTGGCCATGCACAATGTTTATTTATATCAATTTATTCTGTGACATTGGCAAACTATAGCAATATATTAGAACAGGCGTCTGAAGCCACACCCCTCATAAACCAAGTAATCACAATCCTTTTTTTAATATGTGGGTGCAGTATATTGAAACATTGGGATATCTCTGCAAAAAATACTATTGCCAAAGCCTACTTTAAAAAAAAAAGTAAAATTTTAGAGTATCTGTTCTAAAAACCAGCACTGCAGTGAATGGAGAATACTTGTTTTGTGTTTTGTTTTCAGATACTTGCATTAAGGTTGGGATTTGCCCTTTATCCCATTATTTGTTTAAATCACTATACATTTATTCACAAACCACTAACTGGCCTCCCTAATGATTTCCAGAGAATATGACAAACTGTCAGTTTCAATTCCTCAGATTGAGGTAACCAATTTGAATGTTTTGGTTTGGAATTCATGCAGGTACAAAACTTGATGCTCGGAAATATGAATCATTCCAATAGTGTGTTCAGAAAGAAATAACACTTTTTTGTACATTTCACTGTTTTTGCATACAGGCTATGATCTATTTACCATGGCATCTTTGATGAATTAACTTGACACTCTGGCAAGCAAAAGTTGACTGGCTAACTGGATCATTTGAATTCATATTGTTCAGTTCCTTAGCTGGATTTTTGTTTACCATGCAGTTGAGTTGATCCATGTGGAAGGTGCAGTTCTGCCGTAAGATAGAGCTCACACAGCTGCTGTGTTTGTTTATCTACTCAAAGCTTTTGATGTCGAAGATCTGTTTGTTTTTCAGAAAATTCACCCCCCCCTCCCCCCCCAACCCCACTACTCCTGCAACCCTTCTCCTACTGCCCTTTGTCTTTCTCTCCCCCAGTCACTTCTTAAATGCTTCTGGAAATTTTGTTCATGTAGATTTTAATAACCTTGTAAAATAACTTTTTCTCTGCTAATGTGCATTTCCTGCATTGTACAGAGGAGCTCTGACTGTGTATGTAATTTGTTAATAAATTAGAATCCTAAGTGATCCTGTTTGCTGGTGTATTGCCATTGTATGCAAGAACCTGAAATTGCTGTTTGATTTAAATGGAGCTTCATAGTCATGTTGATGACTGCAATAACTCATTCTTTTCAGAAAATTCCACTCAACTACATCAGATACAACCACTGTCCTTACAATTTTCAGCTGCCATGTCTCAGTCTCTGCTCAATCTTTGCTGCTCAAGAAAAAGGTGTAATCCAGATATTCTGGGTTAATGATGAATGGTCAAACACAGACCCAAAGAAACAGACTATGTTCCATGGAGCCCAGTCTGGCTACTGTTGGTCAGTTTAGGATGACTTTGTTAAAATCAAGCTGAGTAATCTAGTTGGTCATTTTAATTGGTTTAGGAATAACTCTCGCTCTGACTCCAAGCTTAGTATTTCTATTTTGTTTGATCATTTCTCCTGTGAAAAAGATTCAAACTCTTTCTACCTCCTTTCTCTAAGCACTTTGCATTCTGGTCCATTTTATTGCATGCCGAACTTTATAATTGATCCTTGGAAAATTTTCTACTGATTTACTTGTGCTAAGGAGGTATGAGGAAGTGTGTTCAAATCCACTGCTCCTCTGTCTAGCCTCTTGTTTATGTATGCATTTTCCCAAATGCCTTAACACCATGGATTTTAACAGTACCTTTTAACTGCGTTCCATCCAACTCCAGCTACAAATGAAGGCGTGCAATTGATTCCAAACTATGCAGATTCAGGATCCAGAAGCAGCTCACACTGTAGCTTCACAATGCAATGTTATTCAGACTAAATCATGAGGAGATCAGGGTGCATTTTCTGTTTCCTAATTTTTCTGAGGAAGATTTTGTAAATATTCAGTTGTAAAGAATAGCATAAATTATCGGAACATTATTCTCTGTCTGAAGAAATCCAGTTTGCTTATAAAATGTTCACTGGATGTAGTTTCCCAGAAATTATTCCTACCCTTCTGTCCTTTTTCCATTGTGACCTCACGGTAGCTTCCTGGATCCCAGAGCATGCTGAAAGAAAGGGTAGCGATGGCAGGAGAGAAATTGTGATTAATGATTGCAGTCATTTGAAATTGTTCAAATAATTTTGAACTAAAATAGTAAGCGGAAAGCGTTAACAGGAAATCAGATTAATCTCAAGAAAACAGTAATGATAAATGGAGAAATGGTAACAATCATGTCTTGTTCAGTGGCTTGAGCAGCAGTTTTACGCCAATCTTTCAACGCAATGGGCAATGGTTAAAAGCTCAGCTGATAGGGGAAATTGACCTCAATTGAGATCAAGTAAATTTAGCATTAATAGGTATTTATGCATTTTTTTAAAAAACTATTCCCAGCAGAACTGACAACTGTTGCTGCATAAATTCTGTTTAGGTCATGGGTTGCATAGAGAGTGTCATTTAAGTTTTCTCACTTTAAAGGGGAAAAGAATCACAGCTGTAAAGGCAACAAGGAGATAAATCATATGTAAGCCATACAGAGATTTCAAAGTAATCTGTTAACGATTAAAACGCAATTTTTTTCTTACAAAAGCTTGAGTTTTGAAACTTAAATATTTAACTATGGGTATTGAGAGCCACAGATTGTACCTGTACTTCTGTTTATAATATTTGCTCAGTGCCAATTATGAAGACAAAACTACTCACTTCTGTTAACATTACTTTCAAAGTCAGCATTGATATAGGGAAATGTTGAACTAGTCAACAGGATGTCAAGGTATTCTATTCTGGCAGAACATGGGGGAAATATACATCTTGTTTGAGTACATCATGTTAGTAATTGAAAAATTTAAAATGCGCCAGTCTTCTTTTAGTACCATCTCTCACCCTAAAACCTTTTTCTGTTTCCTCATACGTGGCATGTTCAGTCTGAATGCAAGTTCATATCAAAAAAGGGCATAATTGATGGAGCAATTTCTTTCTTAATTGCTCCAAGACGTTTGTATTTCTTGTTGCCTTTGCTTAACTAGAAATATACAGCAGGAAAATCTCTTTCTCTTCAGGAGAGAACCAAGTATTGCAGAAGTAATTAGTTTTGACACAGAATAATCTCAATTTGCCGCTTAGTTACATTTCCGACCAGTAACACTAAATGAAGTTTGGATTTTTAAAAAAAAGTATAGCACTTGACTAATTTTATTGTTTTAAATTCACACTATTTTTGTTTTCCCAAGAAATAATTTATCTGAGTAAAAGGTGTCAAAACCAAACTTGTATCTTGTGCTTGCTGCAATATGCAGCAAAAAAAAAAATGGGCATTTCTCTCCATTTCTTTTGAAATCAATGAGAATTCAGGAGCATTTGTAAAGTGCAATGGAATGATCTTGATTTAAATCTGCAATTTGCTTTCAGTACAATCTGTTGCTGATTATAATGCTGAAATAAAACAGAACTTTATTTGTTAAATGCTGTTTATTAAGCTACGCTGTTCTAGTTGAATATTTAGGAATTTATTCAAATTTTCTTTTCACCAGGAGATTATGTTTAATAAACTGACTTTATACAAAAGGGGAGATTACTCGAGAAAGAATTTATGTAATTAACATGTTAACTGCATTGAAGTTTGTCTGTTTGATTGTATTTTCAGTGAATTAAAGCTTAGTGACAATAGAATTTAGAAAAGGTGAGATAGTAGGAACTGCAGATGCTGGAGAATCTGACATAACAAGGTGTAGGTGCTGCTTGGCCTGCTGTGTTCATCCAGCTCTACACCTTGTTATCTCAGAATTTAGAAAATGCTTGGTTTATCAACAATATTGTGCAATAGAATGTGACCATGATCCAAGCAATCAGTTTGTTTTTAGCATTTATGTAAACCTGTTCATAGTGTGTTGGTGTTGCCATAATTGTACCTTTTATTAAAAAAGGTTATTTTTCTTCACTTGCCTATTCACATCTGTCTTCACACCATACCAAGGCAGTAGAGCAGGTACCTGATCTCAACACTAGGTTCAGCATATTCCATTTTGAGACAATACACTGATCGCACTCTCAGGAAGTTATTTGTAACTTTAATGAGGAGCTATCACATTGGTGAGGCAGGAATGGAAACCTGAGTGGAGAACTTCAAGTAGATTTGAGCAGCAGTAACGTCATGTTTGTGGTCTTGAGAGAGGTTGCAGATGACCTGAAAGATATTTGAACAGGAGGGTTTACAATGATTTGAAAGTAAGGGAGTGAAGGTAGGAGTCAAACATGGGGAGCAACGGAGGTGCAAATGAGTAAATATTTTACTGAGATGAGTGTATCAGAGCCGTCAGTACGGGAATAGCAGATCAAATTGTTAATTGCAGAAATGTGTGAATGGTGAATCAATATTTTTTAATCATCCTGTTCAGACATGTTTTGTGACACACCTTTTGTGCAAATGAGTCTTAAACCCAGACCTGGCACCAAGGTAGGGACTATATCATTGACCGTCTATGGCAAAATGAGTATGGAAATATATTTGGTGACCAGGATAAAATAGAATGAGCTTTAACTAGGAAAAGTTCAGCTCTTATCTACTTTCAAGTACATGTATTTAAAAGGAGAGTGGCCAAAGTAAACATTGGTCCTTTATAGGGATGGAGGCTTAAGAAACAATCTTGTGAAGTGAAGTAATAACACAGCCTTCATAACAGAAGACACAGATCACATGAAAAATAAAGGGTAACCGGGGGCTATTAAAAGTGAGGAATGCAAGGTAATGATGAATAAAAGTATTAGACAAACTTAAGGTACTAAAGTCTGATTCATCCTTTGAATTCTGGCCTAATTCCTACAGTTCCATAAAGGTGCCTGCAGTGATATTGGGTACATTGTTCTTTTTTACAAAACTCCCTAGATTCTAGAACCATTGTAATGGATTAGCAATGAGCAGATGTCGCTGGCATCTTTTCAAGAAAATACGGAAAGATAAAATGGGAAACTACAGCCAGTTAGCTGAATAATCCGTGGAAAAATGCTGGTGTCTGTTATTTTTTTTTTAAAAAATGTGGTCATAATCATGCACTTAGTAAATCCTCGCCTGATCAGAGTTAATTTTTTTAATAAAAGAGGAAGTCTCAGGTGTTGGATAGATAAGTAGCTGTGGTATATGCAAACGTATCCATTATTTTCCAGGTATTGACTTCCAAACTTACCTCTGTATACTCTATTGCCAGGCAAGAATGACAAAGCCTCATTTTGCGATCTCTTCCCATTGGTACAACTGAAAAACCTTGTGAACTGCAAGAGTAAACTGTAATGCATCATTGTTTAGTGTAGAATATTGTAGAAAATGTCAATTATTAAAATATAAGGAATTAGCTTTAAAATGAAATCTGAAGCCTAAGATTAGCTCTATCAGTTTTACATTATATTTGCTTGAGTTTAAATAGATTTTCCTTTTCAAGAAGTGGTTAATAGCTTCTGTAAATTCAGCTTCCCAGTTTTAATTATAACATGCAGTTTGAAATTTGTAGTGACAAAATTGCTTTATGAAAATTGGATTGCTGCTGTCTTGGTTAAAAAAAAATCTCATAATTTCCTTGTATAAGATTTACAGTTCATGTTTTTCCCTTGGTATCTGATTCCATTATCTTTAACATATAGGATAATGTGTTTAGAAAAACTATCTATTGTAATGAGACCTAATTTCTAGCAGTTAATGAGCACTTCTCCAAGATGCACTCAAGTATATCTATTATGAGGCCTCCTCTTTCTACATTTTTCTCTGCGTACAGCACTTTGTGTAAAATCATAGAACTGAATGCTTCTGAAGAGCAATAAATGCTGGTCTTGCCACTAACTTTCGCCTCCTGTGTACAAAGAAGACAAAACAGAAATGTACAATGCAAAAAATTGAGGCACAATGAGATTTGAAAATATGACAATGGGAAGTCACGTTTTTAGAAAACAAATGCTCACAGGCTAATTTTCAGATACTTGTCCCAACAATTTTGAGTTCTCAATAACATGCTTGCATTTTGAGAAGGCCTGAGAGCTTTCACAGACTTTCAGCAGGTACAATTTGCAAAAAGAGC